GGTAATCTATGCATATATTTATTTTTTTGTTCAAGTCAATACATTTACATGTTACCAAAACCATGTTTGTAATTATTTTGAGGGATCCACATTTTACATGCTTGGGTTTTCAGTGGCTCCCTCCATTTCTTCTGGTTTAACTTAAAAAACTTAAACAAAACTATTATACGGGATATTTATGTATACTTTCCATTTTATACCTTTAAACCATTTAAAGTGTATTGTATTATTGATTCAATTGTATATCTGATTTCTTGTCAAAATAACTGTTCTGTTGGAAGTGAAAAATAAAACTGAATGTATTTCATACGCAATTGACCCATCAATTGCACTGATTCTGTTTATGTCGGATAAAAATTACTACCGTCTAACAGCAGATAGCTTGGTTTAAAAAGAAAAATGTTTTTTAGGGTTCATTTATTGGACATCCCACCACTAACCTATTCCAAGAGATGATGCATTCACATTTTTAAAGGCAGAACAAGCTAGAACTTAGTTTGACAAGCCATATCCATCAGTGAAATATTGTTCCGGTTAGACTTTCTTTCGTAAGTTTCAACTTAATAAATAAAACTTAATGAAACAATGACATCTATGGTAAATATATTACTCATTGCGGATATAGTATCGAAATTAACATCAGTAGTAATATTCATTTGTCTCGCAATGTATGGTCAACAAGGGATCTAAAAGATCACGTTAGTCGTGCGCCGCTGCAACACTTTGTCAGGTGATAAATATAAAGTAAGCAAGTGTGTTTTATACTCTACGGGTGGACCGTCGCACAGTGGGCCAGGGAGGAACCAAAGTGCACCAAAACTAATTTGTTGTGTTGTTTTTTCTTGCCCTGTTGATAGATATAATGTAATACATTGAATAATACCTCAGTAAAATATTTTTTTTTAATTATACAAATAAATCATCAAAAATGAGTTTGGGCGCACTTTGGTTTCTCCCTGGCCCACTGTGTGTCGGTCAAATAATTCGATCAATAATTAGAACAATAACGGACAAGGCCTATTGGCCGAAGCTCACGGTTGCTCAACTAATCAGCGGACCGCTGGCTTGACTCGCCTGCGGTCTGTTGATTGGTTGAGCACGCTATTGTTCCCGCGGAGAGAGATGTAGATATTGATGGATATTTTCTCCCTTGTCAGGACATATCCGAAACCGACGAGAGTGAAAACTGTGGAGAAAAAAATAACCATGGTGCAAATTAACTAAAAATGTACCTCAAACAACTGCTGAACTTTCCAAGAGTTGAAATGAAAGACTGGAAGCTGCGGTGAAACATAATATGGCACATGGTGAATACCATGGATATATGGATATTAACACTGTAGGTAAAATATACATAAACTAAACTAAAGAATTATACACTAAGGAGTATGAGTTAAATTGTTACTAATGCACCTATCTGTAATGTACTTATCTGCAATGCACTTATCCTTCATTTATAATGATGTACATTAGTGTGAGGAATAAAAACTTGCGGATTAGAGCTATATTTTAATGGTATCAAATCACCACAATCGAAAAGGAGTTTTTCCCGCCTCAGTACGATGAAAACTGAAAGTGAAGTCAAATTTGATTATAAATGGAGGTCATAAGTTCTCCAAATTAAATTATAATGCCTCCTTAGTTCAATATCGTCGCAGCTTAATAACAATTAATGCCGTTTTTCTAAATATTTTTTTTAATCAATGGACAGGTACAATGATTAGTTTCATCTTCCACCCGATGATCGAAACTAAGTTATAGGGTAGACAATTTAATCATTTAGGTTTTTCTCCTTTGTGTAACTTAATTCAGGACAAAATGTATAACACTAACACTGACTTTTATGTCAGGTTAACGACAACAATTACGTTATCAGTGTTAAACTTTTATTTAATAAGTTATTAAAACAATCTGATATATTTTTTATTTATAAAAAAAATCTAAATCTCATATGATATTCAGTAATTTACCTCTTTGTGATACTCGAAATAATAGTTTCCGTAACACTTGGTCATGGTGATGCACCTTTTGACATGCTGTTTTGCAGCTTGAAAAGCGCTCCAATTCACATCAGTCTTGTTTTTCCCCACCGCCTTTCACATCGGCGGCGTTCACTTCATGAATCCCCTATTGTCGAGTTATACCACCGGGGCCTGCGACGAGCCTTGATGGTGACTGTCTTCATGGGAGCAGTAGAGTCAAGAGTCACCTGCACGGCAGAGTCAAATTCCAATACGATCTTATTGATAAGACATTCATCAGCAGTCCCATTATCAGCTTCAGGAGCATCAAGTTTAGCCGCGAGCTCAGAGGCAAATTTAGAGTGATCCATGTCTTTGAAGTCCCTGTAGGATATTTTTGTTGATATCAACTCAGGACGAGACAAGCTTAGAGAAGCGCATACCACGTGGTGATCAGAAATATGATTGACGTGAACTTTGTAGTTCATTAAACTATCACCATCTGCACGAGTGATGGTAGGGTCAAGTGTATTTCCTTACCTGTGCGTTCGCTCTGAAATGTCCTGTACAAGACCATTTGCAGAGAGTGAGGATAGACCTTTAGCCACGTCTGATTTCCCTGGAATATCAAAATGAATATTCATATTCCCTAGCAGAACAAGCATACCTGGCAGCAGACTTGCAGCATCGATAAAGTTGTCAAACTATGATAAGAATGAGGAAGTACGCAAGCCATTTTTAGCTAAAGGAGGTGGCCTGTAGATAACGACAAAGTGAATGTCTCTTGTAGTGTTGGATACCAAAGCGTGTTCAAAGGTTACTGTATCTGGAAGAATACCAGGAACAAGTTGCAGATTGAGTTCACTCAGAGAATCCATACCCCCCCCCCCCCCCCCCGAAAAAAAAATAGAGACATTGTGAGCTTCATATGACAGTATACGTTAATCTGAAGTAGTGCCAGTAGAATACCCTGCCTTTAAAGGTCGTACTTACACTGAATGAAAAAGAACAGAGTGAAAATCTTCTCTGCATCAGTATTCTAAAGTGAAAGAGGACAGATTTGTAGTTTCTGAGCGACAGGTTTCGAGCGGCACGCATATTTGGGGGCCAAAACATATAGACCACTATTTGATAACTCTCTATAATAATGACTTGGATTTCTTTAATTATTAAAATGAGGGGCGAAAGGCAAGTAAGATAACAAGATTATTGATATGGACTCAGATAAAAACAAGGGTAGAAAGTTGACTAACCCAGGAATAGAGACATATTACTGACTATTTTAGGAACGGTAAAAAGCACGTGTTTCTATTTATGTTCATTGACTTCCTCAGAGGGGGAGATAGACTACGCTTTAGTTTGAGAATATAGTGTTCATCATTAAAGATTCCACTTAATTGGATATTAAGATGTACATGGATGCATGGCCTTTTGTTAAGTTTCGCTGTAAAGGTTAGGTCGCGGGACGCGCAGCCCAGTTCAGTTTTGTTTTACTTTTAATATGGTCACGATTACTTTTTAGTAGTATAAATTCAATACAAAGGCTTTATTACACTCCGACTTCGGACTTTGGTTTATTCTTCAAAACTATTTAATTTGAACGAGAGATATATGATCTAATGAACGAGAGAGAAAAAAAAACTGAGAAAAGACGTGGATTCAGTGTGAAAGGACAGATAATCGAGCTGAATGTTAGAATTATGTTGAAAGTTATAATGATATTTTGTTTTAAAGAATTTATTTTTAATTAAAAAAAACAAAGGGACTCGCAAGGTCTGTCTTTTTTTGTTTTGTAATATTCTTTATTGTATTCACTCAATAAATAATATTAATTCATACAAATTGTAATATATAACATATTGAAACCAATTACAGAGTACAAAATACAGTAATCTCAATTATATTGAATGAATTAATATTGTTATAACCCCCCCCCCCCCCCCCCCTCTATATTTTGTTCTGTCTTACTAGTATCCCTATTACATATTATAATTTATAACATATTGGAACAAAGTACAGACTACAATCAACTTAGTTATATCGAATGAATAAAGTTTGTTAAATCCCCTACCCCCGTTAAAAACAAAACCAACAACAACAAACACAAAACAAAACAAAAACAAAACAAAAAAGAAAACAAAAACAAAAACAAAAAAAACAAAAAAACAAAAAAACAAAAAACGATACAAGAAGACGAATTGCTAATTTGTGTTCGATCTCGCAGCTTTAAAACATCGTTATCGTTTGTCAAATTTTCTTTAAAAATTCACGGATCTACATTTCTATTATTTTCTGCCTTTGATCAAACCTTATGCCACAATGAACATTTTATTAACTTTTATATCATTTTTTGCACTAAAGGACCCAGTCTACAGTCAATGTGGTCTTAGACTTTTTCATGCCTTTGTCACAACTAAGTGAATATCTGCTTACAACTAATATTCACCAAAGGACAAAAGGGTGGCCTTTTTCAAGATAATAATGATAATAATAGTTGGTTCTTATATAGTTCTCGTGTTTGTCAGACTTGACATTCCTGGCCCTTTACATTATGTGATAATGGAGTCTCTAATAAAACATTTTTTCTCATTCGGCCATATACTTGTGGAACAAGTTATAAAACGCTTTGTAACTGCAAAAAATGCGTTATCCTGGTTATAGCTATATAAACAACAATAAATATTCCTACCCACATTATCAAAACTTTGAGGACTATGTTTACCACCTGTGTAGGCAAAGTCAGAAATCTGCTTTCCACATTCTTCCCTTTTTGATTTGTGTAGAAATTTTGGCTCACATTCCGGCAAATCGATTGACATTTTCATGCATATACTTTCGAAGACGCTTCCATACCATCACCGTAGTGACGGCTGAACAATATCACTTGAGAAAAATCAATCCAATCTTCCTTTGAAAAGAAGCAGAAACAGAGCTGTTTCTGGTTTCAGAGACTTATTATAACGCTTTTAACCAAGTTAATTATTCTTGATAGGAGGGTAAGCGGAAAAATATTTGCTACATTGACACTTTTACACCTAGTAGAAGTAAGTCTCGTGAAAGGCTCCAACCATGCTGAAGGAAGAGTGGAGGTCTTGTACGATGGATCGTGGGGAACTGTCTGTGATACCTGGTGGGATCTGAACGATGCAAGGGTTCTTTGCAGGATGCTGGGGTACGACGGTGCTCTAGATGCGCCACGATCAGCCAGCTTTGGTCAGGGTTCTGGTGATGTTCTGCGTGTCGATTGCTCGGGAACAGACTGTTCAAACGTTGGGACCAGCACTCCCTGTGGACATCATATGGACGCAGGGGCCGTATGTTATTTAGGAGGTATGATCATTTGCACACTCTAGTCCTAAATTATGGAATGGCCTTCCTGAAGACATCAAAAAATGTTTATCTTCTGATTCTTTCAAAACTCATCTAAAAACATTCCTTTACAAGTCTTGATCGTTTTTCCTGTTTACACGCGCCTTGAGCACTCCACAGAGTGGATTTGGCGCGATATAAGTTACATTATTATTATTATTATTATTATTATTATTATTATTATTATTATTATTATTATGAACTAAAGACATAAGTAAAAGATTGCAGAATTTGCTACACGCATAATTTCCTCAGAATCGTATCACTCTTATCTTTGAATCATTTCCATGAATGATTCACAATCTATCCGAATCGGATAATCATTGCCTCAAAAATTAAATACATAAATGGAATGAAATGTAGAAATACCCAATTAAGATTGAAAAGAATCCATATTTGTCCATGCCATTCCTAATTCATGGTAATATGTGTGTTCTAATTACATACAATAAACATGACATATTTCATTCTATAATATTTTCATAATTTAGACCATCCTAACCCATTGCAAGTTCGGCTTGTTAATGGATCTAACGATGCTGAAGGCAGAGTAGAAGTACTGTACGGAGGCTCCTGGGGAACTATCTGTCATTACTGGTGGGATCTGAGAGACGCGAGGGTAGTTTGTAGAATGCTGGGGTTTGATGGAGCCGTGGACGCACCGGGATCTGCTAGGTTTGGTCAAGGATCTGGTCCTATTCTTCTAGATAGGGTCAACTGTGATGGAACAGAAGACAACCTTGCAGGATGCGGTTATTCAGGGAATGCACGTTACTCATGCAGTCATACAAGTGATGCAGGTGTCATGTGTTACTCAGGAGGTTTGTTTTGAAGGCAGTTTAACCTAGTAATACACCTACCCGACTAAAATATTCATTGGGCACGAACATCAGAATAGCTTTATAAAAAGTGACTTTAAAATTCTGAATTTTTCCTCCCAATTTATTTTATTTTAAAATGAGCCGAATGTTTCGCAAAGTAGAAAGTTATTGTATTGTATATATGCTTTTATTTGGTCTTTTTCTAAGAGGGTATTTTAATGGATTGTACGTAACAATAACATTTAAATAAGGTGACCCCCCCCCCCCCTTCAAAAAACGAAAGACATCATTCCACCTTATCGACGGTATTGCATGGTAAAAGCAAAAACAACCAAATTTGAATAATTTTCTCATATTGAGTCTATAATTAGATGATACTGATAGGATACCTTTATGCAATCAAAAGCAACCGAAAGATGTTATTACGTTTTCATTCCCTTGTAGTCCATCCAAACCCATTGCAAGTTCGGCTTGTTAATGGATCTAACGATGCTGAAGGCAGAGTTGAGGTCATGCATGAAGGATCCTGGGGAACTATCTGTGATGACTGGTGGGATCTGAGAGACGCAAATGTGGTTTGTAGAATGCTGGGGTTCGATAAAGCCTTGGACGCACCAGGATTTGCTAGGTTTGGTCAGGGATCTGGTCATATTATTTTTGATAGGGTCAGCTGTGATGGAACAGAAGACAACCTTGCAGGATGCGGTTATTCAGGGAATGCACGTTACTCATGCAGTCATACAAGTGCTGCTGCAGGTGCCATTTGTTACTCAGGAAGTATGATTCATTATTTATTTATTAGCAAGTAAACACCTACCCGACATTGTTTTTCATTGAGAACCGGACACTTTTTTTTTTTTTTTTTTTGGTCTCGAAATTTGAAAATTTGACATTTTTCTTCGTTGGGGGGGGGGGGAGGTCACCTTTTTTAGGTTAGCCGTGGGCATATGTATATATATATATATTTTTTTTTTTTTTTTAATAATTAAAAAAAAAAAAAAAAAAAAGGGGGGGTTTTAGGTTTTTTAGGGGGGTTTACACACATAAAAATACCAAAGGGGGGGGGGGGGGGGTTTGAACCCCAAACCCCACCCCCACCCCCCCCCCCCTGCGTACGCCCCTGCTTATCAACGGTTTCGCATGGTATAAGCAATAACGACCAAATCAGAATAATGTTCTCATTGTATGAAATACACGTTGTCGTATATGTTTACCACATTCTATACATAAGTTGTATTAAGGCGAAATTCCGTTTTTCCTTTTCGTCTACACTCCATATTGAGTCTTTTAGTAGGTAGTACTGACAAGATACCGAAATGCAATAAAAAGCAACCGAAAGCTGACCCGATTAATTCAAACTGCCCAAATTCTTTCTCATCCAACGTATGTAGAAATTTGTGATGACATCATCTTTTCAACAACAAAAAATATTACGCTCTTATTTTCTTGTAGTCCATCCAAATCCTTTACAAGTTCGTCTTGTCGGTGGGTCTAACGATGCTGAAGGCAGAGTAGAGGTACTGCATCACGATGGATCCTGGGGAGCTATCTGTGATGACAGCTGGGATCTAAGAGACGCGAGGGTGGTTTGTAGAATGTTGGGGTTTGATGGAGCCTTGGACGCACCGGGATCTGCTAGGTTTGGTGAAGGTTCAGGGGATATTCTTCTAGATGATGTCGGGTGTGAGGGAACAGAAGATAATGTAGCGGGATGCATTCAACGAAGGGTTGAAGTACAATACTGTGGACATGATGAAGATGCGGGCGCTATTTGTTACAATGGAGGTAAGAAATACCGTAACATATATTCATGATATTTTATCATATTATGTATCCACTTAAACCGGCTGTAAGTGGTCCGGAGATGATGACAAGTTATGATGACAAGTTAAGATATCATATTGCAACGACCAAACTTTATTACTGCAAAAACCCTAAAGAAAACACATAAATAACTGTCTAGTGTTATTTCATTTTTTGTTACAATTCACATTTCATTTGTTTTCATGATTCAATTATCAATTATTGACTTCCATTGCCTCAGCACATCCGAATCCTTTCAGAATAAGGCTCGTCGGTGGATCCAGCAGTGCTGAAGGCAGAGTAGAGGTACTGTACGATGGATCCTGGGGAACCATCTGTGATAATGGCTGGGATCTGAGAGACGCGAGGGTGGTGTGCAGAATGCTTGGGTTCGATGGAGCCTTGGACGCACCGACTTCTGCAAGGTTCGGTCAGGGATCTGAGGATATACTTCTGGATTTTGTCGGCTGTGATGGAACGGAAGAAAATCTAGCGGACTGTGCATATCTTTTGATAGGCGTCCATTACTACGGACATGGACAGGCTGTTGGTGCTATCTGTTACTCGGGAGGTATATGTCTATACTTTCAATAACATAATGATATTTGCACACCTTCTTATGATATATATGGCGCAAGTTTGGACCCCTAATCTTTCTTGAAAGATTGCTGTTCGATTATCTTACGGCGACCCCTAACATGCCAATTGAGAACGTTTGAGTAACATCAGGGCATACTGTGTATGGTTGAATATCATTACAGTCGTCACATGCCAATTTGCACAATGTCTAGAAGGTGCAATGTAAGCGTGGACACAATAGAAATGGGTCCCATTTGTGTAATGGCCCTTTATGTTAAAATAAGAGTTTCACAGTCTGATAGGCATGGTGGGCGCTTTCACTAAAGGTCGACACATCTCCCCCGGTATGCAGTGGGTAATAGGAATGTCTTCGGTAGAAGCGTAAATAAAAGAATATAGTATATGAAACGATTCTCACATAATTTTCCAACTTCAATAAGACAGACTTATTTTGAATCCACATCCTATACCAGGGCTTCTCAAAGTCCAGACACGGCCCGCAACCGACCCGCGGGCATGTCGATTCGGACCGCCCTGGAGGCTCTGGGATTTCATTTAACCTTAAAGCGTACTCTCTAAAGAAATCGAGTGATCACGGACGTCACTCCTCTGGAGAGTGAAAATGTAGTGAAAATAGAGTGAAAATTCACTCTTTTCTTCTTAGAGAGCACTCTAAAATCAATCGATTTTCACTCCTAAACAAGTGATCACGGACGTCACTCCCAACAAAGTGAAAAAAGAGTGAAAATTCACTATTTTTTTAAGAGAGTAGGGGAGGGGGTAGAATCCACCCTCCCCTTCCTTTTGATCCCAATTCTATATAATTTCGACCAAACGGTACCATGGGTACTGCGTAGCGTCAACAAACAATTTCCCTTAGATCAGATATAAAACTGAAAAGTTTAAAATAATCCTATTTTTCTTTCGTATACAAGTGTCATTATTGATATTTTAAGGAGTAGATTGTCTGAATCTTTGGATCAATACCTTCGTCTTCCAATCACTCTTTTTGTGCCAAAGTTTACTGTTTTAAGCAGCGTGTTGCCGGGAACAATGCCACTTTTCCCACTGATATTCCCTAGATGCATGCCATGAATTCAAATTTTGATTGTATCAACTGTATAATATTACAAACTTATATGTATAGAATAATCGATTAAGTCAGCATAATTCCCCCATTGTTGTTTAGCTTTCATGAAAATGATCTGGATCGTCCAGGTAAAATTTTCAGAACCCCTGTCCTATACGACTTTATGAAAAACTTAGCTGGAAAACGATAGGGAATGACAATTACGGCTACACTTAAACAAAGTACATTCTTTTTTGTTCTAGCCCATCCAAACTCTGTTGGAGTACGGCTCGTGGGTGGATCCAACAGTTCTGAAGGCAGAGTGGAGATCAGGTACAAAGGAACCTGGGGAACAGTTTGCGACAATGGCTGGAATCTGCAAGATGCAAAAGTCGTATGCAGAATGTTGGGATTCGGCGACGCCTCAACTGCACCAGTTTCAGCCTGGTTTGGTGAGGGGTCCGAAGAAATTCTCCTGTCTCATGTCGGGTGCGATGGAACGGAAGACAATCTTGCGGACTGCGCACATCTAGGGTTTGGAGTGCACAACTGCCAACATAACGAAGACGCTGGGGTCACGTGTCTCATAGGAGGTACAATACTTAACTATTCTCCATATTGCATCCAGCCATCATTTTTTATCTAAATCATTTGAATTTACCTGAAAATTGACACAATTATGAATGAATTGCTTACACTGACGCTGTGTGTGGATAGCTTTATTTTCCGAAAAGGCAATAACATTTTCACCGAAATTCATTTTAAAGATGAATACTTGTATACACATTAGGCATTAACGAATCAAGTTGAAACCAGTGCAAAGGCGACAACTGAGGGATAATGATATGGCTTTAAAAATTTACTTAATGTACTCGCTTTAAAGGGATATTTGAGTTTTGGTATAGAGGTCGCTACCAAAAAAAATGATTGTGAGATAATGAAAAACTGAGTGTGAAATTTGAAAAAAGCATATAATTTGAATTACAAAATGGTCCTTGTTTGATCAAAATCGGTTTGGAGAAAGCTGAACTATGCATAAATATAACCAATGCTAATATTGTGGGGTCCCACAAATATTCGATAATTTTGAACCAGCCGTTGAAAGAAACGAGATAGCGCCTTAAACGTTTTATTTCGGCCAATGCCGATGTTGCCATTTTGTTGGCTTTGTTCGTGTTGGTTATAATACGCACAACCAGCCGGCCCGTGTATTGTTATTAGTAATTAATTAATAAATTGATGGTCACCGCATTTTTTTTTTGAAAATGGAGTTGAATTGGTATGATCAGATGTAATCATGAATTTAACATTTCGGAGTCTAAAATTACCTTCAAAGCAATGTAGGTCCTAAAAGGGCACTAGAAATTTCCTAAACAAAATAAGAGCACTTTGACGGAATTTGCAGTCTTAAACAACGAGTAAACTGTACCTTTAATGCCATACTGAAGATTAAATTCGTGATTGACATAATATGACAGAACACAGACCCAAACCTTTACGCACAACCATCCCTACAAACTGTATGGACTTTAAAATATAGAATTGGTAATAGGAAACATATATTAATCTTCTTTAAGACTGCAAATGCGCGTGATCTTTTGGTGAAGAGTTGATTTTTTTTTAATAAATTTGTTATATTTTCGAAGTGTAAGCAAATAATTGACAGACTATAAAGCAATTTCACGTCGATTTTGGTTGAAAAAGGAATATTAACTTTAATTTTTTTTAATTTTTTATTCAATCTAGTTCGACTTGTTAGTGGAGCCGATGAATATGAAGGAAGAGTTGAGATCCTACACGAAGGGTCTTGGGGGACTGTATGCGACGATTTATGGGACCTGGACGACGCAAAGGTTGTGTGTCGACAATTAGGATTCGATGGTGCTTTAGCTGCTCTACCCCAAGCAAGATTTGGTAAAGGTTCTGGTGATATCTTTCTGGATGGTGTTCAGTGCAATGGGACAGAAACAAACCTCAGAGACTGCAAACATAAAGGGATTGGAGTCCATGATTGCATACACAAAGAAGATGCCAGCGTCTCTTGTATGCATGCAGCTCATCTAGGTAAAATCGCTACTGTACATAGCACTAATATTAATATGTTGACAAAGGCTGGTGTATCTACTGGGTGCTCTTAATTTTACTATAATATAATCATGAAAAAGACAGATGACCTACATGATTCGTCCCTGCACTCAGACAATCCGGAGCATGAAGTGAACCATTCATCCAATTTGGTAACAAGATAAACATTTCCCTGGACCTAAAGGCCTTTACCACATGAATGAATCAAGATTTGGATCCTAGGTAAATAAAGAATAACAGGTTAACGATAGAACTGAATCACGTTTAAAATCAAAACTTTGTTATGAATTCATGCTACATTCTAAATTGTCTACATCACATTCACTCTAATGTCTTAATAACATAATCATCCGAGCGCATGTTTTGATCTCTTTTTTTCCACAAATATTTTGAAAATGTAAAATGTCTTAAACTAATTTTTGGTTTTGAAACGATTTGTTTTTTCTTTTGTCATAGATTTGACTTCCTATTCCAATGTTGACGCATCTCGTGTAACAACACGAACTACAGACGATCTGGCGTCAGCAGCTAACGACACTACAGTAGTTGCGTTAAGTACAGTAGTTGCGTTAAGTACAGTTTTTTCGTTAAACACACTGGTATCGTCAAGTACGCAGAACATTTCCCTTGATCAGATAATCCCGACTGAAATTGATATTTTGAACTATAATACAACTCTCTACCCCAAGCAAGATTTGGTAAAGGTTCTGGTGATATCTTTCTGGATGGTGTTCAGTGCAATGGGACAGAAACAAACCTCAGAGACTGCAAACATAAAGGGATTGGAGTCCATGATTGCATACACAAAGAAGATGCCAGCGTCTCTTGTATGCATGCAGCTCATCTAGGTAAAATCGCTACTGTACATAGCACTAATATTAATATGTTGACAAAGGCTGGTGTATCTACTGGGTGCTCTTAATTTTACTATAATATAATCATGAAAAAGACAGATGACCTACATGATTCGTCCCTGCACTCAGACAATCCGGAGCATGAAGTGAACCATTCATCCAATTTGGTAACAAGATAAACATTTCCCTGGACCTAAAGGCCTTTACCACATGAATGAATCAAGATTTGGATCCTAGGTAAATAAAGAATAACAGGTTAACGATAGAACTGAATCACGTTTAAAATCAAAACTTTGTTATGAATTCATGCTACATTCTAAATTGTCTACATCACATTCACTCTAATGTCTTAATAACATAATCATCCGAGCGCATGTTTTGATCTCTTTTTTTCCACAAATATTTTGAAAATGTAAAATGTCTTAAACTAATTTTTGGTTTTGAAACGATTTGTTTTTTCTTTTGTCATAGATTTGACTTCCTATTCCAATGTTGACGCATCTCGTGTAACAACACGAACTACAGACGATCTGGCGTCAGCAGCTAACGACACTACAGTAGTTGCGTTAAGTACAGTAGTTGCGTTAAGTACAGTTTTTTCGTTAAACACACTGGTATCGTCAAGTACGCAGAACATTTCCCTTGATCAGATAATCCCGACTGAAATTGATATTTTGAACTATAATACAACATCAAGTCTAATGTCAAATCTTCCGTTGATACTTGTACCTTGCGTTTTGCTCTTCAGCATCATTCTAGTATCGTCCTGCGCGTGCTGTCTTTGTATAATTCGAAAAAGAAGGGCTGCGGAAGATGTAAACGACGATATCTATATGGACGTAACAAATATCGTACCAAAGCACTCTCTGTCGGCTGATTCAACTTACCAAGACTTGAACACCCCACCTCGGTTACCGGATAGACAAGTGACCGGTGTGCTTCATCACGATTATGAATCAAATATAGCAGCTGATGGTGACGATAAAGGTGATCTGAATCTCTCGCAATTCAAAAAGAAACGAGAAAGGAATATAAACATGGACATCGATAACGTTTATGAAACACCCGACAAAGACAAGGACTTAGATCTTGATGATTATATCCTTCCGACCAGGGAATCATCATCGGATGAGTACATCGACATGACAACTGTTTACCAAACGCCCTTTAGCGGGGAAAGATGAAGACATTGATGGATATTTTCTCCCGTGACAGGACATATCCGAAACCGACGAGAGTGAAAACTGTGGGAAAAAATAACCATGGTGCAAATTAACTAAAAATGCATCTTAAACAACTGCTGAAGTTTCCAGGGTTTGAAATGAAAGACTGGAGGCTGCGGTGAAACACAATATGGCACAGGTTTAATACCATGAATATATGGATATTAACACTTTAGGTAAAATATGCATAAATAAACTAAAGAATTAGACACTTAGTGGTACGAGTTAAGTTGTTACTAATGGACCTATCTGTACTGCACTTATCCTTCATTTGTAATGATGTACATAAGTATGAGGAACAACAAAATGCGAATTAGAGCTATATTGTAATGGTATCAAATCACCACGATCGAAAAGGATTTTTCACGCTCCAGTATACTGTAAAAAAATAATAGTCGAAATAACTCAATAAAATTGAGGAAAAGAATTGCCTTATTTTTATTAAGTAAATATTACCTACGGCATCTTAAGTAGAATTTACTTATTTTGCTGAATAAATTTTTACTCAGTTAAATCGAGTTACATTAACGTAAATAATTTAAGTATTGTAATCATTTTAGATAATTAAAAAAAAGCTATGGTAGGATTACATATTGCACGATTTGGTACCCATCTAATATAACAAGTAACATCCACTAATCGTTCACTACTTCTATTTAAGATTTAACCGTATATATAAATATCTACCACCGGCCATCACAAACTATTACATACGCTTCAATTCGACACATATTGAAAGGCTCCAAATTTTATATATACTTGATCGTAGCATCTTAAAAGGAAAATTGTTTGACAATTTCCTGAAATATCAAGTTTTGATTTGTTTTGAACTGGGTAACAATTAAAAATTGTCTTGTATTTGCTTAGCCATGTTAAATGAATTAGTAAATTTTTTAAAGTCCTTAAATTTTCATTCAACCACAAAAAAGAATTGTTTTATTTAAAAAAGAGTTTAATTTGGTCTTAATGAATATCCATAAATTATGTAAATATTTCTATTACGCACTGCATCGGTCCTTACTTTAAAAAGATAAGAATAATCAACATAAATTGTTTGAGTAATACGTATAATTTCTGATTTTGAGTTAAAATTACTAAATTAATACAAGCTGAAATTATTTAAAGTTCTTATGTATTTGATTTTACTTAAATATTCCACGTATGTTCTACTAAATTGAAAGTTTGAGTTAGCAAGACTTAAATTTAGTGCGTAAGTGGCAAAACTGATGTTTTCAAGTAAATTCTACATGGAAAAAATACGTAAAAATTACCTATGAACAAATTCTTTTTTACAGTGATACGATGAAAACTGAAAGATATGTCAAATTTAATTATAAATGGAGGTCATAAGTTCTGCAATTAAATTATAATGCCTCCTTAGTTCAAAATGGTCTCAGTCTAATGACAATTAATGCCATTTTTCTAAATAATTTGTTTGATCAATGGACAGGAACAATGATTAAATTCGTCTTCCACCCGATGATCGAAACTAAGTTATAGGTCAGACAATTTAATCATTTTAGGTTTTTCTCCTTTGTGTAACTTCATTCAAGACAAAATGTATGGCATTGGCACTGACTTTCATGTCAGGTTAAACAACAAAAAATACGTTATCAGTGTTAAACTATTAAATGAATAAAACAATCTGGCATATTTTTTTTGTTTCTGTAAATCAATGTCTCATATATAATAGGTAATATTACCTCTTTGTGATACATGAAATAATAGTTTCCGTAAGATGGTAACGAAATTAATTGCCAGACCTAATAAGAGCACAATGATTGGCATTACAAGCACTGTACAAATAGTGAAACAAATAAAATCTATTAATCATAGTACTTTGTGTATGTCGTATCGTCGTTCAACCTAGCATTGAGCCGGTTAGGAATAATATCAAATTATTTACACTAGATAGAGATAAAGCACAAGTAAATAACTTTCTTTTAATACATTGAATAACTTGGCTTGAAACTTTCTTAGATGTTGTAGGTATGAAAGTTTCAAGCCAAGAAAGAAATCTGGAATTATGCGCCTCAACATTGATTTAAAATTGCACATAATCCATAAACTTCATTTATTTTAGGTTTAATTGTAAAGGAAATCTATGAATATAGATATCTAATTGGTGGCATATTATATTGCACATGTAGACTCCTTTGATATATTTTGAGATTATGTGGTAATATGACTTACTTGCCTCTGTGGTGGCAATTTCCAATTTTATGCCAAAGTTACCTGTGGAAATTCATCATGGGATGGTTGCAGAAATTTAGATCTACGATGATCATAAAACAGAAGAATATCGTGATTGTTGCTAATGATTTTTTGTTCTCACACAGGGATACATTTACAATCATTATCAAATATTTCATGGATGATGAGGAACAATAGTAATTTAAATGATAAAGGAGTTATTAACTTTTAATAAAACGAACCCGTCATCTTATTCATCTTTTTATACACAAATTAATATCAATAAGGCAAGAAAGAATTTGCTCGGTTTTATCAAGAAACTCTTTGTGGATCAGTATTTCAAAATCACATAATACAAATAAACTGGACTTTTAACCCTGGCTGGAAATTTTGTTCGAACAGATTTATGTTACAATGTGTTTGTAAGTGGGTAACGAGATTGCAGTAAGTGTGAGCAATGTGTCGGGTTATGGGGCCTTATGTAACAATTGATAATAATTTATGACTCCTGGCTGTAGTGTGCACTGAATAATTGGACTAGTCAATTACTTGTCAATTTTTTAGGCTTGACCATATTTACATTGTAAGTTTTTGTTGTTGATATTGTTAACTTGAGTTGTTTTTTGAAAAAAATAAACATTGGACTTAAGACTTAACGGATAATGATAACGCCGTGTCTATCAAATTATTTTTTTAGAATTGCATGCAACAGTATGTAATAAAGTTCTCCAACTTCTCTCTTCTTTGCATATTTCTTTTTCCCCTTATGTTTGCTGTTTGTTTGTTTGATTTTGTTGCTTTTGAGATTTACAATGTATGCAAGTACATGAATATGGATGAGTAAACATGTGCTAGCATTTTTGTATTGACGAATGACATGTATGAGTGTGCATGCATATTTGTGTGTAAGGGGCTCATGCCTTGAAGTTTAAAGTGTCCCCTATAGTATTAATGAGAAAATGCGTTAGTGTTGCTTGTACATGTATATTTACAATAACAAATTACTACTAAAATGATTGAATGAGAGGAAATTCAATAACGTTTGGAATAGAACTGATTGAGGAGATGAAGCATTTTTGACAGCGGGATGTGTGGGGCTGAGCATGTACAATGTAATGATGTAGTTTTTAAATTGAAAAGAATTGTGTATGTGCGTGTACAAGCGTGCGTGAGTGTGTGGGTGTGTGTGTGTGTGTGTTTATATGTTTTGGTGCGTATATATTATAATCCATTAAACGATGTCTAAAGCTGTCCAAGTAAATTTTAAAAATGTTCACAGAAATACAAGACAATCCAGTATATTCATGGTCAGGTAACTAATTTTAAAAAAAGATTGATACTGATTCTCAACTACAAATAAAGGACGCCAGCTTTGGCGCTAACAGTCACAAACCTACGTGGATATGATAAATCAATGCGATGTGCTTCAGTATTTATCTCTCACCTCCATGTCCTTGCCACAAGGAAAATCCATGCAGTGATACTGGAATCGACACCCCCCCCCCCTCTTCCACCTCTCCCTCTCTCTCCCTTCCTCTCTCTTCTTCACTTTCTCAAAAGAAAATTCTCCGTCACACTACAAGGGAATGGGATATAAATTATTTTGTTAAAGCTTGTCTGCAAATTAACAACCGTTTTTTGTTTCGTTTTTTTTTAAATTTCCAGGCGTATTTTCAAAATCTGAGAATTACAACTCTCCTTGCTGGTATTTTCTTTTTACTTTAATTTTTATCATCACCTTTAATTCGATTTGTTTATTTTTTTTAACTTCCTCTTTTTTTTTTGCTGGCTAGTGTGTTGGAAAAGTTATGATATAAGTTGTTGAAGAATCTGCATACTTTGCCAGCATCCAACATTTAAATCGGTCCAACGACGTTCCCGGTCCCATTTTTCATTTTATCCCCCCCCCCCCCCTCTCTCTCTCTCTCTCTCTCTTTACGACTGTTACCCTCTCCTCGGTAGCTGAAAATTCATGTTTTTCGTTTCAGTATATCTTATTTAATAGTAATAATAATAGTAATAATTATTATTATAATTATGACGTATGAGATTTGTAACGCACCCAATCCGTTTGAAATCAATAGAACAGGGAGCACTTGAGCAAACAAAAATAAAAACACATGAACATCATCTAAATAACAAACAAAAGAACACCAGGGTATGATTATATGAAATAACATACTAATATGAAAGTGAAAAGTGATTGTAATTACCGCCTGTGTCTCATTTAATTATAAATACAATTCTGGCTAATTTTATAATCAACGCTTATCCAAGAAGAAAAACATGATTATCAATTTGGTCTTCGATCATCTATCTACATGAACCTGAAAGTAAATTCTTACCGAATTCTTGATCAACAACGCCTATGAACTTTAGGTCAGATGCTGTAATGAAAGGAGACATCGCCAGACTGTCTATCAAAGACCCGTACGGACTGCTATTCATTATGCACGACTCGAGTCACGGCCCAGCTCACACCTAACGAGTCACGGGAGAGGTGCCCAAACACTCATGCACATTCACTATCACAGAGCCTCATCATTAACCAAAGGGCGATGGATGTCACACTGACGTGAATATGACCTTATGGGACTGAGTAGTGTTTCCTCACCGTCTCGTCGAAATAAATAGGTTACGGTCATTCACTGCCCGAGAAACACATTCACTGTTTACACACAAAGAAATGTATATAGGACAGGCGTCACAATTAACCACAGAAGTACACATTTGTTTCTATATTTACTGGGCGAGTTGTCACTTATTCA